TGGTTCTCTTCTCAGAACATGTCCAATCCATCTCCATCTTCTCCTTTTTATTATGGTGGTCATGTCCTCTTATCTACTTTTACGTAACAGATCTGCGTTGGAAATCTTGTCGGCCCAGAAGATTCTGAGGATTTGGCGTAAGCTGTTTGTATGAAAGGAAGATATAGCTTGGCACGGTCGTGATCAGTCATCCTCCAGCATTCAGCTCCATATAGGAGTGTGGATAGTACACAGCTGTTATACAGCTTGAACTTGGCTTGTATACTAAATTGTCCTGATTTCCAGATGTTGATCATGCTTCTGTGTACAGATCTTGCCTTGCCGAGTCTGTTCATATTCATAATGTCTTCCTTTGTGCCGCCGTCAGTTTTGATTACGCTGCCTAGGTAGGTAAAAGTGTCAGTTACAGGGAGGTCTGTGTTGTTCACCCTAATCAGCGTTGGGGAGCCTACATTCAGTGCCATCACTTCTGTCTTCTTCTGGCTTATTCTTAACCCAATCCGGCGTCTGTATTTGTGGAGCCGGTTTGTTTTTTCCTGCATGTGCTGGTTGGTATGGGAGAGTAGTGCAAGGTGGTCGACAAAGTCAAGATTCTCTTGATGTATCCTCTGTTGTTTTCCTAATGACCCAGTCAATGGCCAGGTTGAACAGAATTGCTGACATGTTGCATCCTTGTCTAACTCCTGTTTTTACCTCAAAAGCAGTGGTACTGTTTCCAACAACGCATTTGAAGTTTTGGTAGAAGCTCTTGATGACCTCTACTATCTTGCAAAGAATTCCATAAGATCGTAGAATAATGTACCAAAGACTTTCTCTACGCACACTGTCGAACGCTTTTTCAAAATCAACGAAGTTGACCTAAAGTTGTCTCTGCCATTCCGTGCACTGTTCTATTATTATGTTGCGGAGGGCAAATATCTGATCTGTGCATTTTCTTTCTTTGCGGAATCCTGCCTGTTCTTTTCTTAAGCAGTTTTCCACGGCATCCGACATCCGGTTCATAATAATCTTGGCCAGGATCTTGCTGGGAACTGACAGCAACGTGATACCTCTCCAGTTGTGGCAGTCTCTAAGAGCCCCTTTCTTTGGTACTTTAACAATGACTCCAGTGCTCCAGTCCTCGGGGATCTGTTCTCCCTCCCATATGGTTTTGAATAGTGGCTGAAGAATGGTGGCAGTCAGTTCTGGGTCTGCTTTAAACAATTCTGCATTCAGGTTGTCCTTTCCTGGAGATTTTCTTGATTTCAGGCTCTTAACAGCTTTTACAATCTTGTGTTTCTGTGGTGGGTCAGAGCTGATATCCAGATCCAAGGTAGCTTCCTGTATGTCTGGGGTGTCCTCGGGTGGAGGTTGGTTTAGGACTTTCCTGAAGTGTTCTGTGCAGCGTGCTTCCTGTTCCTTCTCGATTGTCAGCAGCTTGTCAGCATTGTCTTTGATTGGTCCACTCATTCCTCCGTGGAACTTGCCACATATTATTCTTGTGATCTTGTATACGTTGCCTTGTTCACCCTTAGCAGCTGCCTCCTCTGCCTCAGTTGCCAACTTTTCCATGGTTTCTCTTTTGTCCTTCCTGACCAGTCTTTCACTTTTAACTTTCTGGCAAGCTTCCCTGTAATCTTCTGCGTACTTCTCTTGTAGCTGTATCGACTTAGCTGCAAGCTGTCTTTTCTTGATTTCTCTCCATTCTTCAATAGTATTCCAAGTTCCTTGCTGTATCCATTCTTTGCTTGCATTCTTCTTCTTGACACTAAGACATGTCTTATTGCTCTCTGTATGGGCCTCTACAATATGCTTCCATTGGATATTGACTTCATCTGTATTGGGGGTGGTTTCTTCCAGGTCTTGGGAGAGCTTGAAATCGGTTCTTTAGTTCTTAGTCGGAAGGCAGATCTCACATTGCCATCACTGAGCTTGTGAACATTAAATCGTGTCCTTGTCGCCTCCCTGGTGAATGTTTTCTTCAGCTTGATTTTTATCCTTGCCGTCACTAGATGGTGGTCGCTGCCAACATCTGCTCCTCTTCTGACTTTCACATCCTGTAGGGAACGTCTCCACATTCCTCCTATTACTATTATAAGATGGTCAATCTGGTTCTTGTCCCGGCCATTTGGAGAGTTCCAGGTCAGTTTGTGGATTGTACGGTGTGGGAAGAGGGTTCCGCCCCGCCTATCACCAAGTTGTGCAATGCGCAGAAGTCCACTAGTCTTTCACCATTCTCATTTCTTGTACCTGTACCATGTTGTCCCATCGTTCTCTCATAGTTGGTGTTGTCCTCTCCTACTTTAGCATTCAGATCGCCCATTGCAACTGTAGCTGTTCATAAAAATAGTCCTTGTTTTTATGTATGTATTTAGTATAGGTTTTTACGGCGTTCGCAACTGCTAAGGTCATATGAGCGCGCCAAACACAAGTTGTTTACTTTCGCGAAAGTTCACAGCACGATTGGTTAATTAATTGACTTTAAAATGCTAAAATGTTAAAATATTAAAATTCAGTGTAAATATATTTGTGATTTAAAACAACTCTTATAAGTAGCAATAAAAATTTTAAATAGTACGTTTTCATTTTTCATTTTACAACTTGCCATAAAGGCCAATGGCCTTTATAAAATTCAAAATTCTGTTGGGAACAACGACGGAAAAAATATCTTGCAATTTCTTGCATTTATAATATTTCCTCCGGATCTCTCCAAAGTCTAGACATTCGGTTAAGATGTGTCTAATGGTAAAATCTGTGTCGCATCCGACACAGAACGGCTACTCATCTCCCTGTAGGAGGTATTTGTGGGTCAGGGCCGTGTGTCCGATGCGCAATCGAGTAAAAATGACTTCGTCTCTTTTGGAGAGGTCCGAAGGATTTTGCTGTTCTAATTTGGGTTTTATTTCATATAGTTTATTATTTTTCTGGTTTTCCCAGTGGCTCTCCCACAGACTGAGGGTGTACTTTTTAACTTTATTTCTAAAGTCAGTCTGTGGAAGAGTGTTTGTCGTTGATCCCAGCAGAAGGGATGAAGCTTTCTTCGCCAGGTCGTCTACCTGCTCGTTTCCTCGGATGCCCACATGGCTGGGTATCCATGCGAACATGATGTTTTTTCCTTGTTTTCATCTTCACTGTCGTTAGTAGGGGTGTAACATTGGATGGTGCTTGTATTGGTGAGCTTTCCCTTCAGTCTCAGTGTCATCATTCTGTTGTTGATCGGTTTCCATTCCATGAGACATTTCTCAAGTCCCCTTTTTAGGATGATAGCTACACCTTCTCTATGTTGGTTGTCTTCTCTGCCGGCATAGATCAGTGTTTCTCCAGTTGCTGTTCTCAGCCTGCTGGATCCTGTCCAGTGACTTTCACGTATGCCCAGAACGTGCAATCTCCTCCTCTCTGTCGTTACTTGTGCCAACCTACCAATTTCATACATTGTCCTTACATTCCACAGTCCTATGATAACTTTTGTCTTTGCGGTGTTCAGGCCCCCCATCTTCCTGCAAACAGCTTCCTCGCGGCTTTCACTGCCAGCTTTCATACGAGTCCCAAGGGACTCTGAAGGTCCATCACACATAGAAATCTGGTTTCTCTTTGTTGCTGTTTCCGTAACATATGCTTTTTACCAGTCTGGGTTGTTAGCCCCGAGCTGAACCTCCGAAACCTGGAGGGCCGGTGGATCACGCTTCGTCTGAACTCTACCCGTCGACCTGTCTGGCATGGGTGGCCCTACCAGGAGCATTAGCTCCAGCCAGCGTTGCTCTTGGGGTCACTGAGGCACTCAAGCTCTCTAACCACAACAAGGTAGTGATCCACTAGAGAGGTCTGTTTGTATTATCACCACAAATTACAATTTGATTGATACTTTGGCTTGGTATTTTACCTAATTTGATTTTACACCTTCATTTCTCTTTCTTGTATAAAACACTCTAGTAGCTTAATCTGGAGAGAAATTACGGCTATTTTGATTGACCAAAATTAAATTCCGCCCAGTCCAAGCGTGGAAAAAAATCCCGGAGAGAAAGGGTTAACTCATTCGCTACGCCGAGCCGTGGGGGGCGGCGCGGCTAGAGTGCCGTCAGTACGCAAAGCCGCCCTCAGCGGCTCGAGAACTGACGTTCAATTTTAGCTTGGTTTCTATTCCAATCCACATATCCATGTTAAAATAAAGGTCATAATATAAAGTTGACTTCCGGGTCAAGTGTTTCCACCGAAAATCGGAAGTTTTGATTCAGTTTTGAAACAGGATTTCGAAGTTTATGCGACATTGTTTTATCGCGAAGCCCAAATTATAGCCAGACACCAGTCTTTGTACTTTTACACAACAAAATGTATCATTATTTTGCTCACTAAAGAAGTGTAGGACTCTTCTTATAATATTGATACTACTGGACTCAAATTGCCAGTGCACTGTAATTGAGAAATCAATATTTTTGAGTGCTAGATCTAGATCTAGATCTAGGCCTAGATCTAAATAGTCAAAATATTTTTTTTCTCCCCAAAATCACTACTTTTTGGTGAATTTACTAAATAAGTACCACCCAAGACATGTATAGGTTTATTCCAAATGCAATTTTGAATAATTCCATATAAGATACGAGTGTTTTTTTCTGTTTGGGATCCTTTTTTCAAAATTATTTTAAAATTTATTTTTTTTCAATATCGGAGGTTACGATCCAAATGTACAAATATTATGGAATGTATGTAAATAACTGCTCATTTTTCAATATTCTCCTGTTCTATATACAGTTATGGTTATTTTGATGTATAATTTGACTAGGTGCAAACATATTTTTTGAGTTTCATCTGAGATTATAAATGTTTTGTTTTCAAATTTTATCCGCAACCAATCACAATTGTGTTGCATAATCGCCTCTTACAGGAACCAAAGTTGGAAAACACTCAAATAAACATTACAGACGTATTCTACAAACCATACTGAAAATGTTGGTATATAATATGTTGATATTTATTTGAATTTATGGCCCCCAAGACCTGTGAACTGCGCACTAGTCATCATCTCATTTCGCCCTCCCGAAAGAAATTCGTCTACAAGCCGAAAATAATACGTAGCGAATGAGTTAAAGCACAAATCCCTTACACATGCATATAGGCCAACAATAACGGTTAAGTTCTGCAGGTTTAAAAAAAACTCAGATTTGGGTGAATTAAAAAAAAAAGCCAACCTTTACAGGCATAATACATGTATGTAGTGCAGTCTTTAGTAGACTAGATCTAGTAAGACTAAGAGTGGGGAGAAATAATTTATCGAGTATCTCGGTCTTTCTGTTGGGATGTTTGTGTGCTTCTCACCCCGAGAGGGTCGGGGACACACACACACACACACACACACACACACACACACACACACACACCGCACACGGCATAATATAGCGTATGCATTTGCAAACGGACACCCCCCCCCCTTTACACACACACACACACACACACACAAACACACACACACACGGACATACATATCGCTGCACAACAGACGCCGATGTAGGCCCATGTATGTATGGTGTTCAGCAGCGCAGAACTTTTACTGCAAGCGCAAGGTTTAAATTTCGTCATGATTTATTCCTCAGTACAGCCACTTCCAGTCAACTGCATAGGATTTTCCAGCTGTCTATTTTAAAATCTGAACAGACATATTGTTATGCTAGGCCAAAGCCTAAAATTACAGTTCGTGGTAATGGATGGCACAGCAGGGCACGCAGTAAGGCTTCGGGAGATGTAGTTTTGCGTGGAGTTTGTTAGGAAGTCTTTGATTTAGGTAAGACTACTAATTTAACTTAAAACCCTTTGTGAATAATGAATCGTTACAAAATCTTCCGAGGAGCATTTATTAAGTGAACTTCTACTCTTGCACCGCATTCTAATTCAAAACACCGGAGACACTTAAATTAGCTTCTTTTTTTGGTGCATATCGTTCACGTGAAAAGACATACTCTAACTCTTAGTGTTAAAACTTTCTACATTTCGTAATTTTAACCGCTAATGTTGCTTTCGTTTTCATCCAGTCATGCATTCATAATTCATACAGAATTACTGATGGTGTGGTGAGAAGGCCAACAAGAATGGAAGAAACAAGGAAGTAGGACAGGGTAGAGAAGACACGCAAAAAAATAATATACATGTAATATGGTGCCAGACCATTGTCTACCTAGCTGAAGACTAAGGATTGCATGCCTGCTTACTCCTTGGTTTGCATTAGGGTTAAGGATGGGGTAGGGGCAATTAGCACCTCGTTTGTGAATGTTGCAACATCCTTATAGAATATATTCTATTCGTCAAAAACGTCTTTGCAACACAGTAATAACAAATGCAGCCAGTTTATATTTTGCGCGAACGGTGCCTCTCTTTAGCCTGTCGGAACGTCCTTATATTAATTTCATCAAAGAAATCTTTACCCCCCCCCCTC